TCCAATCCTTCCAGTCCAAAGTCCTTCCAACAATAGTTAATTCTCCATATTATGTCTCGAACAAGACCCTACACCATGACCTTAACATCCCATATGTCCATGACATCATCCCATCCAGATTCTCCAACTTTCACCAGAACCTCATTCATCATCCCAATCCTCTAGCGCAATCCCTATCCAGCTCCGAACATCCATACCATCCCCCTCGAAGGTTGAAACGGCAGTGGCCTCGAGATCTTTTGTAAATATGCCTTTGGAGTCCTGGCAATGGCCAGCTTCTCCACTCATGTCCTGAGCGTCTGTGGCTCTAGTGCCCTCTTTCAGTCTCCATTGGCTTCTAATACTAGTGATGCGGCTGAAAAAGTGGCGCTGGGATCTTCCGGAGTCTTGCTTTGCCTTCCACGTGTGGGAGAAAAAGCCTGGCTCGGAGATTCTTGTGCGAATGTATATATTGTATACAGGTATGATTGTGTTTAGAAGTTTTTATTTTATTTTATTTGTTTATTTAATTTTTTATTTTTATTTCACTTCTTCACCAGTATTATTTATTTACTTCTTATATTTATATTTATTTCTTTATTATTTGTATATATTGTATGAATGAGAACTTTTAGCCCTAATGCTTATAGCCCTCCAGCAGTGGCTGATTGTATTATTATTCAATAAACAGATTGAAAAAAAAAAAGACTCAAAAGACAAGAACTCAACCGACGATACGGGCAGCTATACAGACTACTAAACAGAAAATCCAAACTTTCTATTGAAAACAAATTACTTATCTACAAAACAATACTGAAACCTATATGGACATTCGGACTTGAACTGTGGGGGACAGCAAAAGCTTCTAACATCAAACGTATTCAATCCTTTCAATCTAAAGTCCTTCGAACAATAGTTGATGCTCCGTTCTATGTAAATAACAAAATCCTACACCATGACCTTAATATCCCATTTGTCCTAGACCTTATTCCAGAAAAATTCTCCAAATTTCACCAGAACCTTACCTATCATCCAAACCCCCTTGCACAATATCTATCCAGCACCACCCATCCTTACAATCCTCCTCGCAGGTTGAAGCGGCAGTGGCCCAGAGACCTTCTGTAAATAAGCATCTGTTGGAGTTTTGGCAATGGCCAGATCCTCCACTCAAGCCCGAGTGTGTATGATTAGGTTAGTTCTTTTGTTTATATACATTTATTTTATTTTATTGTATTTATTTTTATTTTATTTTATTGTATTTATTTTTATTTTATTTTATTGTATGTATTTTAAAGGAAGGAGATGGTCCGGGGTTGCGGTCATAAAAAGGCTAAATAGTGGTAAAACTATTTTATTGAAAGCCAACGTTTCGACCCGACTTTGCAGGTCTTCATCAGGGCTAGAACGGACAAGATACAAAAGATAGAGAATTGTGGAAATTACATAATATTTAGACATAATTTATAAACAATGTGAATAAGCTTATTAGAATTATAAACAGTAAGTACAATACAATATGGACTAAGTAAGCTAAGTAACAAGATCCTAAAATAAAGTAAATAGATGCTAACAATTGTTGTAGTGTAATATATAACAAATGAAAATGTGAGTATGATTCTACAAAAAATACAGAAGAAAAAAAATAAAATAAATAAAAAAATAAAATAAAATAAAATAAAATAAAATAAATAAATAAATAAATAAAATAAAATAAAATAAGATTAGAGACTTACAGGTGTGTTCCTCTAGGAGTTTCACTTAGAACTGGAAAGGCAGCGGTAAGGATTGCAGGTATAGGGGGGGGGGTTAACATGTGTTAACTAAGTAAAGGATTGCAGGTATAGATGGAGTTAACATGTGTTAACTAAGTAAAGATTGAAAAACCCAGGAATGTATAGTACCTAGGAATTTTTGAAGATATGGATGAATATAATGGAAAAATACTATATCTATAAATATTAAAATTATAAATATGTAAATATACAAGTAAAATAGAGTTGAGAGATGTGAGAGGTATTTCATGATTCTAGATCAGAGTACAAAGTGAATACACCCAAAATTGCTAAAGAGTAAAATGTAAATATAGAAATAACTTTATTAACATATATACATTGCAGAGCTAACTTACAAGTATAGAGAGGGAAAAGAAAAAAAAAAGAAAATAAATAAATACAAAATATAGGGTGGTCATACATTGGTGTTGAGTGTAAATGTAAATTTAGAAAAATAGAAGAGAAATCATACAAAGAAGGAATATTTAGAATAATGACCAATTAAATGAATTAATTAATAAAAATTGAGAGTAGATGAAAATAATAAAATAGAATATTTATGTTATTTTTCCCTTATAAGACTTAAAATGTGTCTATATGAAAGAGAAATACAGTTTTTGTCTACTTTGTGATTAACGGGATTATGTTCCATGTGAATGTGGATAGATTCGGAAATGAGCCTTTTTTCATGGTTAGGGACCGTGGAAAGGATAGAGGTTTTTCCAAAATCAAATGAGTGCAGGGGGCGGGGTGGCCGAATAGGCTAAAGCGTGTGCACAACACCGCTAGTTGCCTGGCAACCGGATAACAGAGATTTGAGATGATATAAAAAGTACGAGTTCGCGTCCCGGTGCCGGAGGGGATTTTAAATTCCCCGCCCTCATCCCCCGGCCCGGGAAAATCCCGTATAGCCTAAAAGGCGAGGTAGGGAAGAACAAAAAAAAAAAAAAAAAAAAAAAAAAAAAAATCAAATGAGTGGTTGAGTGTTAAAGCATGTTCTGATAGTTTGGAGGCGGAGGGATTCAGGGAAGTTATGGACGTTTTATGTTGGGAAATGCGGGTTTTGAGATAGTTTTTGGTTTCACCAATATAGGAGCTATTGCAATTAGGAGTACTCCTAATTAGAACAGCTCCCTACTTCTAATTGCAATAGCTCCTATATTGGTGAAACCAAAAACTATCTCAAAACCCGCATTTCCCAACATAAAACGTCCATAACTTCCCTGAATCCCTCCGCCTCCAAACTATCAGAACATGCTTCAACACTCAACCACTCATTTGATTTTGGAAAAACCTCTATCCTTTCCACGGTCCCTAACCATGAAAAAAGACTCATTTCCGAATCTATCCACATTCACATGGAACATAATCCCGTTAATCACAAAGTAGACAAAAACTGTATTTCTCTTACATATATACACATTTTAAGTCTTATAAGGGAAAAATAACATAAATATTCTATTTTATTATTTTCATCTACTCTCAATTTTTATTAATTAATTCATTTAATTGGTCATTATTCTAAATATTCCTTCTTTGTATGATCTCTCTTCTATTTTTCTAAATTTATATTTACACTCAACACCAATGTATGACCACCCTATATTTTGTATTTATTTATTTTATTTTATTTTTTTTCTTTTCCCTCTCTATACTTGTAAGTTAGCTCTGCAATGTATATATGTTAATAAAGTTATTTCTATATTTACATTTTACTCTTTAGCAATTTTGGGTGTATTCACTTTGTACTCTGATCTAGAGTCATGAAATACCTCTCACATCTCTCAACTCTATTTTACTTGTATATTTACATATTTATAATTTTAATATTTATAGATATAGTATTTTTCCATTATATCCATCCATATCTTCAAAAATTCCTAGGTACTATACATTCCTGGGTTTTTCAATCTTTACTTAGTTAACACATGTTAACTCCATCCATACCTGCAATCCTTTACTTAGTTAACACATGTTAACCCCCCCCCCTATACCTGCAATCCTTACCGCTGCCTTTCCAGTTCTAAGTGAAACTCCTAGAGGAACACACCTGTAAGTCTCTAATCTTATTTTATTTTATTTTATTTATTTATTTATTTATTTTATTTTATTTTATTTTATTTATTTATTTATTTTTCTTTTCTTCTGTATTTTTTGTAGAATTATACTCACATTTTCATTTGTTATATATTACACTACAACAATTGTTAGCATCTATTTACTTTATTTTAGGATCTTGTTACTTAGCTTACTTAGTCCATATTGTATTGTACTTACTGTTTATAATTCTAATAAGCTTATTCACATTGTTTATAAATTATGTCTAAATATTATGTAATTTCCACAATTCTCTATCTTTTGTATCTTGTCCGTTCTAGCCCTGATGAAGACCTGCAAAGTCGGGTCGAAACGTTGGCTTTCAATAAAATAGTTTTACCACTATTTAGCCTTTTTATGACCGCAACCCCGGACCATCTCCTTCCTTTATAATGCAACGGTCAACCATTAAATATTCAATCTGTATGTATTTTAATTTTATTTTATTGTATTTATTATTATTAAGTTTCTGTATTATTTATTTTTTTTATTGTAAATAGAGTGTGAGTGTGCTCTTTGAACACTATTATAAATGTCCTTGATGTGACAGAATGTAATATTTCTAAATAAACAAATAAAAAAAAAAATGTATTTATCGTCCCTGATCCTATAAAAAAAGTAAAAACATTAAATGAAAAGACATTGTCTTTGTATCTATGTAATTTGTTGTTCTTTTTCTCCACTGGTTTCAGTCATTAGATCTTCTTCAGGCTATCAAGTCCCTTAATTTAAAAGTAGAAACAAAAATAAACTATAATTTCAATTGTCAAACTCAAATTTCGCAAGATTGGATTTGAAAATAAGTCGACCTAAAATGAAGTTTGACCCCTTATTTTACAGAAGAAAATTTCAAGATAAAGATTAGGCCTCAATTCAGGGAATATAGTATTGTTTGAAGTTTTTTAAATGTTGATTGATATCAATCTTCCCTTTAAATGTATATAAGTTGATAATTTATGGTAGTTAATTTATAATTTGTAATTATCAGTTACCAATAATTCTTATTATACATGGAATTGAATAACTTTACCAGACTCTATTACAACATACCAGCATCAAAACCCAATGGTTCTCTTATTATTATAATATTATTTTGTATAACCTCTGCTTTAAAAATGAGTATTCTATGTCAAGTGATTTATATTCTTTCAGGGGAAGAAGACAAGCTCAAAATTGAAAAAGTAGGGAGAGAACATGCAGGAATGTATCAGTGTTTAGTAAGAGACGAAGATATTTCAATGCAAGCAACATTTCAACTAGTTCTTGGAGGCAAGAATTATCCACTGTATCTACATACGTTCGTTTTCCTTTTTAGGTTTTTTCTATTTAATTAAGCATATGTTTATTGAAAAAGTTATTTTTTAAATATTTAAGGACCTAATATATGTGCTAAGATACTATATATGTGCTTATAATTTTCTTAACAAGCCTTCAAGAACCATTTAAGCATCATGTTTCTTTCTTTCTTTTTCTTTCAGAGTCATATACCGAACACCCTCCTGGATCCATTACTGGTTATATATATATTTCTCCCTACAGAAGTCAGTATTCCCTACCCCTTGGAAAAAAACCCTTTTTTTTCCTTTAAATATAAACTGCAATCCATCCTCTGTCGATGATTTTCGTCCAATCTCAATTCTTTCTAATCTATCAAAACCTCTGGAAGGACTATTGCAATACCAAATCTCCAACTTCCTTGCAAAATCCAATCAACTCGATCCTCTCCAAACTGGTTTCCACCACAGCTACTCCACGCAATCAGTCCTAATTAAAATTATCAGTGATATCCAGGCTGCTATTGAGGACAAAAATAATGATCCTTGTCCTCCTTGACTCATCCAAATCCTTTGAATTCATTAACCATTCAATCCTCCTTTCAAAACTAAAATCATATCTTTCTTCAACAGTTCCATCTCATGGTTTTTATATTTCATATCTCAACGTTCCCAAGCAGTTTCCATTCCTAATAAACCTCTTGCTTCCTATCTTCCTCTGTCCTCAGGAGCTGTCCAGGGCTCTAGCATATTTTTTCTTCTTTTTAGAGCCTATATAAACTTTCTTCATAAATCAATCCTTAACTGTTCCTACCTCCTTTATACCGAATATTTTCCAAATATATTTATCATTCTCTCCTTCTGAGTTATTTGTAGTATTAGCAAAATTTAAGAAGACCTAGATCGAATCAGTTCCTGGGCAAGTCTAAACGAATTAAGATTAAATGTTGGAAAAACTCAGGCCATTGTCATTGGTTCCAAGTCTCTTCTCCGATCCAATTCCAACTTTCCCACACTATACCTGAATGACCAACCCATTACCTTCTACCCTTCTGTTAAAAACATAAGCTTTTTCATTGATCAAACCCTTTCCTGGAATTACCACATTTCCCATATCGCTCGACGATTAATTTCTACTCTCAAATTATTCCATCGCTTCCGCTATCTCCGACCCGAATCTACCTGCAGACTACTAGTTTCTTCCCTCATCCTTCACTATTTTGACTACGGATATGTGATGTACGGAGGTCTCTCAGTGGATCTTGGCGACACACTGAAGAGAATTATTAACAGCCTTGTCAGATTTGTCGTTGGGATCCCGAGAAATTCATGTATCTCCCACCACTACGCTGAATTATGGTAGATTTTATATTCCTTCTTTAGGCAATACTTCCTAGGCATATTTATTTTTTAGATTATCAGCAGCTATCGCAGCTCCGATGCCTATGATCTCCATTTTAAGGCCTCTGTCCCCTCTCTGATCACGAGACCCTGACCTTTTGAACTTTATATCCCTTTTCACAGATCTGCCTCATTTCAAAACTCCTTCGTTGCCCGCTCCGCTAACTTCTGGAATTCAGACTCTATAAAACCCCATCCATATCCACCCTTAAAACCTCTTGTTTGAATACCGATTTACAAAACAATCGAAAAATGGCCAACCACTTATTAAGTTGTGCTAAGTTTCAGTACCCTGTTTAATAATTAATGCTTCCTTTATACAGAAATATAGAATGCTTTCTTTATGCTACTTTATATATATATATATATATATATATATAATATATATATATATATATATATATATATATATATAATATATATATATAAAGTAGATAGAAAAGGCTGATTCTGGCGTCGGTTCTAGGAGCAATATGGCAACGCCCATTTCTCACCAAAAAGTTTAGCCGTTAAATAATGTTCCGTTCACTTTAAATCGTTCACCATCCTACTGGCCCACTGATCCTCACCGCAATCCTAATATCCTTGATTTTTTCATCCACAGTGGTTTAGTTCCCCCCAATCATTCCCTTACCCGTCTTGACGAACTTTCCTCAGATCATAGTCCATTAATACTTCAATTATCAATAGCTCCTATTCCTAAACTCCCTTCACCGTCCTTCATCAGAGGCCCAGTTAACTAACTGGAAACTCTTTCATCTAATACTTTCCGATAAAATTGACCTCAGAATATCTCTGAAAACCCCAGATGACCTTGACAATGCCGTACACTTTTTACCATCACTATCCAACAAGCAATCTGGACTGCTTCCTCCCCAAATGTCTCCTCGTAAAGAGAGATTCAGAATATTATCGCAACGCACTCAATTCCCAACGTTTTCACCTCCTTTCCCCCAACTTTTCTACTTACTGGCCCACAGATCCTAACCGTAGTCCTGATATTCTTGCTTCCTTTATCCACAGCGGCTTGTCCTCAAATCCTCCTAAATAATAAGTCCCCTCAATTGTTCCATTACACATCTAAAGGAACCTTGCTCTGACCATAGTCCTCTAATTCTTAATGTTTCACTTGAACCCGTTCCCAAACCTTCTCCACCATCAGTTATTAGGGACCCAGTTAACTGGGACTTTTCCCGCCAAATCCTTTCCGATAAAACTGATATTGAAATTGATATCAATATATCCTTAAAAACTTCCGATGACCTAGATAGATGCATAGTGGAGACGGTATAGTTCGCAAAAAAAAGAAAGAAGAAAATTAATGAAGAGTCAATTAAATATTACTATCCAACGGGCGCCACGCTATTTAATTGGTTGAATTTGTAAACTAGCGAAAACCATAAAAATAAAAATAAATACATAAATTTAATTAAAAAAAAAGATTTAGACACGGAGTGAGCTACGAACTCGGAACCTATGGGTTTAAAACCATATGTTAATTAACCTCAAAAACCTATCGAACCTTCTTACTCGGTTAGTATTCATTTTCCCTAATCCCTCGAATAGGGTTTTACAGTTCTTTATTAAATCTAAAAAAAAACAACAATATAATATATACATAAAACGTGAAAACAAACTGAAGAAAAATAATAAAATAAAACTGGCTATTATTAATACTAATGATGAATCTACTTATTTCCATTGATTTAAATAACTGTTAAAGGAAAAGAAAATTATGAACAAGAAATTAGATTTAGAAGAAGACAAAGAAAATACAATTAATTTTAATTATTAAAAAAAGTATATAAAATTATTATAGAACTAAAGATTAACTTAGACTATACATTAAACCAATCACAAATATTTGAAAAAAAGTAGATTGGAAATAAAAACTTATATATACATATTTACAAAAACTCAATACCGAACTTTGTCCAATTGGCTCAATGAATTATCTGAGGAAGAGGGGACTTATTCTAACTAGCGCCATCAGTGTCTCCCCAGTCCACCTCTTTAAGCTGTGAAAATGTTCATTCACCAACATGTAAAATCAAACGGCACTTGTCGCTGATAATCAAAGGTTTATAGATAGGAAAAGAAAATCCGGTGTACACCGTAAAACTAAAGTATTTCACACACACACACACAAATCCTTAGCGTGCCTCTACACTCGCCAGGTTCCGCCAACTCTCTTTTGTTTTTCTCTCTCATATGTCTTGCTGTTATACTGACTTAAAATTAATATTTACAACTAATACTTAAAACTAATTTATTTGTAGCTAACCCTCTTCGAGGTAAAACTAACAATTATTTTACGAGATATATATATTTTTTTGGTATTTTTTTTTCGTCACAAACACTTCATTTTGATGTGGCTCAAATAATTTAGGTTTTTTTTTTAGAAACGGTTCCTGGTTGCAAACATCTTCATCTATCTTGCCGTTATAATCATTTGAAAAAAAATCCTCTACATCTACTGCAAGTATAAGCCGAATTACCATTATAAGATTTTTCATGTCTAAGAAGATAATATACTCATAAGAATTTCCACAAAAGTTACATTTCAACTGATTCATTTTGTCTATATTACAAAATAAAAACCTATACGATTTATAAAGAGTGTGAACGATGTACGAACTTTGAAAATAAAAGAAAAAGATAAGTATTCCTTTATAAAAATAAATATAACCTCTACAATATAACACGAAACAATAAATATAAACTACAAAATATTAAAAATATATATATAATCTCTATAATGTAAAAATAAATAATAAATATAGCCTCTAGAAACTGAGAGCAATTTATAATTTTAAGGCTCGATTTACAAACTGGACATTCTAACTTAAATTTCTGCTTATTCAGTCTACTATGATTGCTGGTTAAAAACGTTTTTTGCTGAACTTTAGGCTGTGTGGTTTTGTATGTAGTAGCATTGTATGGTGACCCTTTTTGCCACAAATTTGCAATTCGGCTAGCGATGGGGTCCTGTACAAGAAAAGCATAAATCAGACTACTTTAGTAGGTCATTTTCAAACAGTGATGCGACTGGGAGAAAAGCGCTGGGATCTCTTTGAGCCCTGCTTTGTCTCTCACATGAGAGCGGCAAAGCATGGTTCAGGATTCCCCAGGCTGAATCTAAATATTGTATATAGGAAGGAATGTGATAAGTATTTTTTTTTCTTTTTATAATCCTTTTAATGTATTTTTTTCTATTTCTTTTTACAAGTATCCTATATTGTTATTCTTTTTTTATTGTGTATGTTTTTTACTAAGATGTTTTCTTCTTATTTTTTTCTTCTCAATTTTTATATAATAGTATGAATGTAGACATAGAGCCTTAATGCCAAATTCCCTTGATTGTGGCAGATTGTATTATTATTCTTCCAATAAAAAAAATATTATATATTAGTAGGCCATAGCGACCATTAACATCGGCATCTAAAAACTGATGGCACTTTATAATTTTATCGCTTCGATTTACAAACTGGGCATTCTAACTTAAATTTCTGCTTATCCGATATATTGTGGTTGCTGATTAGAAATGTTTTTCACTGAACTTTAGGCTTGGTGGTTTTGGATGTAGAAAGCTCG